AATGTTTTTTTTAAACCCCGTGGAAAAAAATAGGCTGGTGCCCTTTTTTTTTTTTTTTTTTTTTTTTTTTATAAATTTGAATTATTGCTTGAAGATTTAATTTATTTACATTGCTCTTTATTCTTCAAAATAAAAATTTAAATCTCCATTAAGAAACTTCTTCCAGGCATTGGTCTTTTGGTCCCCTTTAAGTGCATGTCATTATATGATAGCAATCATTACATGTAATTAAGGATAAAGAGCAGCCTTTCCAATAATTATCTATTTTCTGTGTAAAACCTAATAAGCATGTCAGCCCGTTACATTTTGCTGTAATTTACATCACTGCTGTTTTTGTATCATTGAAATCAAATGCCAGCTGTGACCTACCACCAGTCTTAAATCCTAATCAGCAACCTTCCTGCTGCATTTTGCCAGATTTTCTCTTTGGAGTGCAGCACAACAGAGTTTAAATTACCTTAAATGGGGAGAAAAAAAATCCCAGGAGGGAGCTGGCCAGGCCTAAAGGGACTGAGGATTAAGAATGTGTAATTTATTCAATGAAGCCACTTTGCCTCCTGCCCTCTGTGGTTGCTCACTTGTACTCGTACAGAAGAAGAAGGTTATTCTGAATTTAGTGTAAAAAGGGATAAAAGGTACAGGCTGACCTTACTCAGTTAAGACATCTAGCTTTTGTTGGTTTTTAGATGTAGTTCAATGAGTGATGGATTCCATCAAGGACGTAGAGCATTAAAAGTAGATGTAGATTTGCTCCGACTTAAAAAACAGTTTTTATTTTTTTTTTTTTTTTTTTTTTTGTATGTGTAGATGTACCAATATTTTTTATAGAGAAAATGTTCAAATTAGTAGTATAACAAGATGCTGACAAACATTTTGTAAAAAGAGAAAATAACTTTTTTTTCTCAATGTCTGAAATTAAACCAGACTGTTTTTCTTTCTGTTTTAGTTCAATTAGGACTATCAAAATGATTATCAAAGGCAAAAACAATTTCAGTAAGATTTTTTTGAAACCCTCACCAACTTTAGAGGTTTATACACTTCCTTAGTGTTTCATGGAATTGTCTTTTAAACTGTCTAACTTGGATCAAACATTTTAAATATCCTTCCCCAAACATCTCATGATACTTGCTGGGATTTGGGCCGTTTTTCTCCTAGAAGAACTGGTTTAATTTTTAAATCCAGTGTTAAATATTTTCACAGATTTTGACAGGGATATTTTTCTGGGGCTTGGCAGTTATATCTTGGCACACATTCCCCAATAAAATGGATCTGGTGACTTCCATGATTTCACACCTGTAAAAGAACATTAAAAATTAGTTGCAAAACGCCAAAAATTGGTATCACAATTATGCCCATAATGAATGGATGGAAACTTTGGACTAGCACTATAGATTGTGTCTGCCTATTAGACACTAATGAATTACTGCGTTGCTATTGTTCTACAATTTCGAGTTTAGGAAATAAATTTGCTTTTTACCACTTTATTTGGAGACTTTTGTCTTTGACTGGGACAGCAAATGACGCAAGCAGAGCCAGTTACTATATAGTTATAAATAAAAACCAAGAATGTAATTGATAATTAAAATAAACATCATAACTTGGGCACTAAGTTTTTGCTGCTGTTCCACTTCAGTGCACTGCACTGACACTTTGTGTTACTCTCCGTGATTGTAAATAAGCTTGTCAGCCTAGAAAGCGAAACAACTATTTTTGAAATAGGTTGGGACATAGTTTGTTCAGCATTGTTCTGGTAAAGGTTACAGACATCTTGCACAGTATCTCCACAGCTGCAGTTGTTGCCAGGTCTATATAGGTTTCCTAATCAGTGAGATGTGTCTTTTTTTTTCTCTCTCTGCTCTTTTTCATTCTGTTTCTCCTTCCTGTCAGCTCTGAGGGATCACAGAATTGAGCTTGTACGAGCCACGTCACAGGAGCTCACCATCAGAATCAATGACGTCAGCCTGTCAGACGAGGGCCAGTATACATGCTCACTCTTCACCATGCCTGTCAAGACAACCAAGGCCTTCCTCACTGTTTTAGGTGAGCGTGACCAGTTTTTCCACATGCGTCCTTCTGCACTCGATTTTTCAAATGCACACTTTAAATTACAACTTAATTATGGTATCAATAAGTATTATATACAGGAGTATATCCAAGAAACCAACAAGGCAAACAATGAGATTTTAAATTCTCCTTTATGCAGGGAACAAGCAAGGCGTTTTAAGGTCTCTGGGCACAGCATTTTGGATGTACTGCAGCCGATAAAGAGCTTTATACCAATTCAATAGTCTTAACTAAATGAAAACAAAAGGATGCACCAGTTGCAAAAAGAATCCTGGAAATGATGCATGTGATGTTATCAAAGGACGATATGGATAACTAAACTTAAATGAGTAGCAATTAGCAAATTAGTGCTCCACATGTATTCAGAATGCTAATCTTGTTTATGCTCCGGTGCGCCACAGGAGTGCCAAGTCGGCCAGAAATCACAGGATTTACCAAGCCAGCCATGGAGGGAGACGAAATCACCCTGACATGCATCACATCAGGCAGCAAACCTGCTGCCAACATTCGGTGGTTCCGAAATGACAAGGAGGTCCAAGGTAAGCCTGTGATATGGATTTAACAGAGAACTGTATCCTCTCTTACAACCTGCACTCTCTAGGAGACATTCATACTGTCAAGTCATTCAACTGCTGCAATTCCTTTGTGCTCATATTCATGCTCCGTTTCACTGGTCTGGGCATTGCTGCTGTCCTTGTAAGCTGACAGATGTCACAGAACTGGCCACATATGGGAGATTTTAAAGCGCATGATGTGGCCCCGTTTTGTGGACTGTGTTTTAGAATGAAAGCTGTACAATGTTGTGTTATGGATTTTGGGCGGAAAAAGTTACTATTGCAGTGGCTTGGGGCCAGTTTATGAGGATGTTGACCCCTGGGCAAAATCGTTTTTTTTTTTTTTGTGATCAACTCGCACAAGCTTCTTTTGCACATGCAAATTACTTCAAACTGATTAATTGCCAGAACTCAGCTTCCAGGTTTACATATCACCTCCGTATCAATAATAAATAATAACTGGAGTTGTTTGAAACAGTTTCTTATGTTTATTCCTATTTTTACATTTTTAATGATGAAGGTTACTGCTCTATATACAACATATTATAGTTGATTAATTATGTTCTTAATTAGTCAGAATATATGTTATCATATGTCATGCGACCTTGAATTGGGACCACTTATATGACTTGATCTACTAAGGTGAGTGAATATTCATCAATGCAGATGAGCGTCTGCATAGCTTAGCATGAGATGAAGTAATGTTGACATTTGAGTAGTACCTGCAAATGTTATATTGCTGTAATGCAAAAGTGTGTGCGACTAGAAGATGCATTTTTTTTTTTATGTGTGCAAATAACTTCATGGAAGTCTGGCTCAGCTTGTAATCAGAATTATGTATGCTATAGTATCAGATGGGAAGAAATGCAATATTAGAGCATTATTTACTTGAGCTGCAAAGGTTTGTAAACATGAAATAAAAAAAATAAATAAAAAAAGCAATTCTGCGGCTGGAAAAAGTGCAGAAAGAAAACACACGAGCAAATTCAATACTAAAAGATTCAAGACCAGTTGGTCCCCAGCTTAATGACAGAGGCGCTGCAGTACAGAGATGTTTAATACAATGGAGCTTTCTGTGGAGATTCTGTGTGACAGTTGCTCTTTATTGAAGATTTGCACCAGAGAGCTTTTTCTTGGTGGTTCTGTCTGTGTCTGGCCAACATGGCACGATGATTGATGGGAAAAGGGCTGGGATATGAAGTTTTTCTGTTGGAATGACATCCACGTAGCTTCCTGAAAGGCCAGTGGAGAGTTGGCTCACAGCAACACAACCAGACATGCTGTCCATCTCCAGAGGCACTCAGATGATCTCTTTTGTACTTTAGAGTTATAAAATGCACTTTTGGATAAATCATTTAACCCCAGAAATCTATACTGGCATATGGACGTACTTTTACTGAATTTGCTGCACATCTAAAGATTGAAACGGTACGTACGTCTGGGATAAGTAATCCCCATAACTCTAAAAATAATCAGGCGCCACGGATCCGCATCAGACTGGTGTCTTGTGTACAGATGTTTTATTAGTTTTACTTGGGTGCACCGGGTTTGATGCCGCTGGGGCAAACAGACTTGTGTGCACCTCACAAAGAGTGATAGAGAACATTGCAGAGACTGGAGGTCTTGACTTAAATACCTAATTTCCATGTCAAAGTGTCAAAGATGGGGAATGTCAATCAGTGCTCCAGGATCTAAATCTTTTGTAGGCTTCGCTTTAAAGCTTTCTTTGGTGTGCATATATGCTAGGAGCAGCATGTTTTGCCACTGGTTCTTCTGTGGAAGATCATTGCCACCAGTGTCTGCTGTCAATCAAATGTGTCCCTGTGGGGTGGGGGAGACCAGCCTCTATTGCTCCAAGACGACTGCAGGTGTAATAGCTAAAAGATGTCATATTTATTTCATGCTCTGATGATTTGTTTTTCAAAAATGTATATTAGAAGCGCACAGCCTTACAAACCTCAAAGTGCAACTGTCATCCAGAGTCAAGTAATTTGTTTACAGGGTGCAGAGCAATACAAATTTCTTGTGCCACTGAATGACAGCTCTGCTTCAAATTGTAATCTGCTGATTAAAAATCCACCCACCATCACTCCGTTTGCATACACGAAGTTTCCTTTCCTTTGTGACAAACAGATGGAATTCCAATTATCTATTCAAGGCGAGGAAAGTTCTTAAGACATTTGAATTCAGATAATGAGAAATCATGTTATCACGAGTTTTATATGAAATTCAACTTTGATCAGTTCAGCTGCAGGAAAAAGAGAGCAAGAGTGATATTATGTGGTATACAAGGCCAAGGAGTATAACTTCAGGTTATTTATTTGGACTTTATGAAAGAAGTGAACTTAAAGCAGTTCATAATTGTGAAGTAAGAAAGAAAGAAAGGTTTTACAAATGAAAAAAGTCTGACTTTCATCCAAACAGCCCACCACTTCCCCTTTTCTGAGCCAATAAGTTTTGCTGCATTTCCAGCTTCAAGTCTTTTAAGATATGTTTCTACCAGCCATGCACATCTAGAGACCCACCTTTTTGCAACCTTCTTTCAAAATATTTTAAGATTGGTCTGATTGGTTGGAGAGATGATCTGAAGAATAATTTGAATGTCTAATCACAAATTCTCAACCCAATTTACCACAATACTTTGATATTATATATGGTTAATTATTTTAACCATTTTATTGTAGCTATAAGATTAGGATGGTTGGACTCCTGAAATGTTCACCTCAGTTTAAAGTAAATCCTGTACTTGATTTTATTCATCTTCCCAACAACTCTGAACTGTTTTTTTTTTGTTGTTGTTGTTTTTTGTAGCTGCCGATCACCATTTATCATTTTTGAGTTATATCACTTTTATATAAGGCCAAATGGAAAACTACTCATCGGGGAGTTGGGAGTTCTGGATTCTTTCCTGCCACTTCACAAAGTGTAGTAGGGCAAGAAGACAATGTACCCCAACTTGCCTATAATGGACAGCAAATGAAATACCGTATAACAAGATCTTTCACAATTAGTTTTGGTCATAAGGTCTTGGACATATTTTAAGTCAATCGCTGAGGTACTAATGTTCTGATTACAGGCGTGCTTAAACTTGCCAGAATTTCAATCCTCTGGCCTCTTGGGCGTTGGTTGAAAGCAGATGTACCTGGGCACATTCCTGTTTCTTACGAAAGTTGGCACGACATGCTCTCTGGCGATGCCAGCAGCCGCCTTGAAACAGGCTGACAGCTTCTCTGTTGCAGCTCCAATGCTGCAGGCGGCTTGACAAAATGAAAGTAAACACTGCAGAGATTTCTGTTTTATGCCGCAGAGACACTTCCTTTACTATCTCTGTACTGATAGGCAAAATTCAGAACATTCAATATTCTTTAGATACAAGTCTTGTCATTTTGCTCTTTTTTAATTGTGGAGGCTTTTTGCTATTACTTTTGCAATTGTGTGCTTTTTCGGGTTCTTATTAACTGAAATAAATAATTTTGTGAATTTAAGCACTTAGGTCTTTTAAAATAGTGATTTATCTAGTAATAATTCAATATATGACAAAGGACAATCTCCATACAACTGGTTTTCATTAAGAAATTAGGATATTGTAAAGGATATTAAGTCTTTAAAATTCCAAATTGTTGTGCTGAAAAGACTGCAGCTGCAGTGGTACGTGATGGGGCAGATCAGCCCAAGTTATGAGGGTGTTGTTGGTCTGGGTTTCATTGCAAATAGGTTTTAGTCTTTTAAACCTATTTTAGTTTTTTGTGATACATATCACAAAAAATTAAAACTAAGCAAATTTTCATGCTATGTATACCACTAACTAAATGTAATTTTTATTTTTCTTCGTTCAATGAGATCTGTGACAGTACCAGATTAAGTGTTGGGTGAAGGCTACGCAGAAATTTTTCAAATTTCAAACTGGGATGCAACAACAATGGAGCAAATCTTCAAAAGTCAACCAAAACCAGAACCAGCATTTAGAACTGTTTTAAGAGTGAACAGCTGCGAATGAAACTAAAACAAAATAAAAGAATATGTGAAAGTGTGACAACAACTGCAAAAATTCCCCCCAGTCTTCTGGTGAAGTGTGTGTTTTTGTTTGAGTGGGATGTTTGAGAGATGGTCCTGGAGGAGCAAACACACTCAACCAACCGAGTCAACGCTCACATTCCTCTCTTTTCTCCATTCTCTCTTCCTCGCCTCAAGTTTCAGAGGCCAAAGATTCTCTCCCTCAAAGGAGATGCAGAGGAAAATAACACTGCAACGTTCTTCTCCACAACTGACAGTTTTGAAATATAATTTAATATTTCCCTTTTTAACAATTTAACAAGGAAAGTTTTGTTTCGCTGTTATTTCTTTATTTTTGTAACATTACAAACACAAAAAGTAATATATTTTATGAAGACAGCATGCGGATTTAGTGGACACAGAAAACTTAAGAAATAAAGCGCTTTTTTTGACAACTTGTAAAATGGATCTCTCTCACCTTGAAACATGGAGGTGGCATCATCATGCCGTGGGAGTATCTTTCGTCAGTGGGGAAAAGCCACATACCGGGAAATTATGGATTAAAACTTGCTACTGACTTGAGAATGGGTTTGAGTCTGATGTAACAATCCTGCCAAAAACCCAAAGGAGTTAATTACGCAAGCATGACAGGACATTTATTAATTGAGAGAGCGAATAACTGTCATCACATTTATATTTATTCAGTGGCCCAGAGAGCAGTAGAACGCACTGCTTTCACTCATCTTTACGCCCTTGCCGGAAAATTGCACTCGCTCTCTGTTTAGAGGGCGTATATGTTAGTTAGGGGCGGTAACTCTCCTGATTGATTTGATAGGTCAGATTTTTCAGCTCAAATGCGGTGCTAACATCGAAGTTGGTCTAATACAACAAGAAAAAGAACAGGAGGCGTAGGTGGATGAAGAAGACAAAGAAGATAAGGAAGAGGAAGGGAAAACAAACATTTTCTCACCTTACCTTCTTACAGAAGGGTGGATGGAACATGTTTTATTTCTTGGCAGGTTGTTTTTTATCCTGGCCCGTGAATAAAGAGCTATGTGCTCTCTCAATTAAAAATAAGCACTGTTTTGATTACTTAATATGCTACTCATGGGTTTTGGCAGGAATGGGATGCCGTATTGGAGGTCCACCTTTCTGCTGGACGAAGACCCTGAACATAAAGTCAGTCCTACAGTAAAAGAGTGTTTGTCTATCACACACAATCAAAGTAAAATCTGTTGATGTTAGTCGTGAAGCGACAAAATGTAGAAAAGTTAAATGTTCTGAGCACTTTTACACAGCACTGCATTTCAATGTAAACAGACGCCAATAACTCAAATTCAACAATTGCTCTTTACATTAATTTGCATGCGTTTCTCTCTCACTGTAGGCGCCACAGAGGTCAACGCTACAGGAAAATCCTTCACAGTAAGGAGTAGCCTCCTGTTCCAGGTGGACAAGCGGGATGATGGCGTTGCTTACACCTGCAGTGTGGAGCACGTGTCTCTGTACAAACCCTACCTGACGACTGAGGTCCTGGAGGTTCACTGTGAGTATCATAATCCGTGAAGACGGATTAGGTGTAAGCACTGAAAATGAATACAGAGAGTAGAACGTTGGATTTTACATTTATGTCTGCATGTGTGGCTCTGCATTTGTTATGGATTAGTGTAGGATTAACTTGCAGGTGATGGATTACTTCCAACATACAACAAAGATACAAACTAAAGCTAAGGCTACCCACAGGGTAAAGAGCTAACTGTCTTTATGCTTTGTTAGCATTAAAGCTTGTTTTGCACTCAGTCATGTTACATTATTGAATCTTTGTCTTTTTTTCTGTTTTTTTTTTTTTTTTGTAGATGCTCCTCAGCTGGAAATCACACATTCACTGATAATTCCACAGGAAGGACAATACTTCAAACTGGAGTGTGTCTCCATAGGCAACCCAATGTAAGTTTGACTTCATTCAAAATTACAATTTGTAGTTGCTCACTTTCAAAAACTGCATTTCAGGTGTCGTTTCTGCCCTTGCCTCTCCTTTATGTAGCTTATTAATTAGAAAACCTTTAGGAAAAAAACACAACCTACAGGATTTTCTTTGGTGTTTTCTTCCTCAGACCTGAACCAGTGCTCTGGTCTAAAGATGGAGGAGAGCTGCCAGACATTGAGCGCATGATTGTGGAGGGCAGAGAGCTGACCATCACGACACTAAACAAAACAGACAATGGCACATATCGCTGTGAGGCCAGCAACCATGTGGGGACCAGCTTTGCTGAATATATTCTGTTTGTATATGGTGGGTACTTAACTGAAGGCTTTGTTTTGTTGTTTAAGATCAAAAGTTTTGTTTACTGACACGTTACTGTTTCATATCAATAACTTATTGATTAACGGAAAGAAAACAGAAGTATAGCAAGTCTTTACCTAGCACAGGGAAAACAGGAATAAAACTGTTAGAAAAAGATTACTGGTAAGCATCAACTCCCATTTTATTGATAGAAAAGCTTTTTTATTCTCCGAGAAAATTCTCCTAGAATTTGTTTGAAAGCTCCTGAAAGTTTTAAAACAAAAAAGTACATAATTAAAAATATGCTGTAATAAAGAAATGTAGTAAATTGAATAAAAGTAAACCTTGTTGTAAGTTACTATTAATTCATGTTTCCTGTAAATGGAAAGGTTTTTAAACTGTTTAGCTAAATATTTTATATATAACTAAACCACAGATTATATTAGGCATAAATGTACAATCTTGAGAAATTAAGCCATAAAGTATTCTTGGTCTGGTTAAAACTGGACAGCAATATACTGAGGTTTAATTTAGTAGTTTATTAATAAGTGTGATATTGTAGGATGTCATTTCTCTTCTACCGCCCGCTCAATGTATTTCAAACTGACCTAATTATTGTTCTGCTTCCTCCATCCACCATGTCATTTGTGAATAACACATTTAAATGTGTGAGCATTTAGAGTTTTTCACCAGCATCTAAATCACTGTGAAAAAGTATTTATTCTCTGCCAGATTTGTTCTGCTTTTGATTTTTTTTTTTTGTCACACTTACATGTTCCAGTTCAATTCAGGTCAATTGTAACGTCAGATAATCTGAGTAAAAATATATATATAAATATAAAATTCAGTTTTCAAATGTTTATGGTTAAATAAGGTGGGGGGGGGGGGAAGCTGCATAAACAATTCTGGTCCTTTGTGGAAAAAGTAATTGCCCCCAAAACCTAATTTTCTGATTGTGTCACTTTTGACATGAACAACTGCTGTCAAATGTTTTTTTTAATAACTGACAATCAGTCTTTTATATCGCTGAGGACTTAACCCCAATACTTTTCACAGAGTTGTTCAATCTAGACATATTGGGGAGTTTGCAAGGATAAAAGTTTTTGTGAAATGTCACAAAAATGTCACAGCACCTCAGTTGGGTTAAGTTGAGGCTCATGCTAGAGAACTCCAAGTATTTTTATTTTTTTTTAATTTTTTGCCATTTAACTGGGGATGAGACTGGTGATTGTCTTACTGTATAGTCCAAGTATATTTGGGCTTGATGTCATGAACTGACAAATATTCACTCTTAGGATTATCTAATAAAGAGCAGACTTCATGGGTTTATCAATTACAGCCATGTCCTAAAGCAGCATCACACCATCACACTGCTACCACCATGTTTAAGTGTTGGTATAAAACCTTTTTCTCTCTCTTGGACATGTTGGTTTACCTAGTCTGTTTCCTATTGTCTGGGTTATTGAGAAGAACAATCACTTTAAAGAAAGGAAGTGAAGCCTGCAGAACATTAGATGTAGTTCAAGGTTCATTTGTGTCCTCCTGGATAAGTTGTCAGTGAGAACCTTGAGTTATATTGCAAACTAAACAGCATACAGTGGTATACTGTTTAGTTTTCTCCATCTGTGAATAATCCCTCTCACTATGTAGTTCACTGGAGTCCCTGAGTCACAGAGATAGCTTTTCAAGCCTTTTCATAGCGATACATGTTATCATCTGTGCTTGAATATCCTTCGATTCGGACATTGCTGCTTTTTGAGATCTTCCAGCTTACTTTCTGTTGTTAGATGGGTTATACTTAAGCAGTTTCTTGATTCTACAGGTCAGCCAATAATCAGACCGGAGTGTGTGGACTGAAACTGAATTAATTCATGATTTCACAAGTGGGTGTTATGCAGTACGAAAATTTGTGTGTTGATTTAAAACATCTCATTTTGGACAAAAAAAAAAAGCCAAAACCTACAAGACGGCAAGCATATTTCTATTCAGCTCTGTATCTTAATATGTATTGCCTAATAAAAAGATTTTGTGCTGTGTACAGAATGTATTTAGAAAAACTGTCAGGTATTGGGAAAACATAAAGTACCTTGAGTAAAGACACTTCAGAATCTGAAACACAGACTGTTTTATCTATTTTATTTAATAGTGAACCTAAAATTGCTAGAAAATCTCATTCAATAATAAAATTTGGTCATCCATTACTCGAGACATACCTACATTTTTTTTTTTTTTTTTATAATTTTACAAAGGCATTACCCACATGTTTAGAGAAGACCTCATTCAAGCCATGAATCATCTGATTATGTTGTATTAATTGAGTGGAGAGCAGAGGTGTGTTGTTGTCAAGGTAAAATGCAAAGGCTCCCTTGTAATTACATCATTATTTTTAACATAGCTGTGGGAAAGAACATTCTAAGTTAATTTTAAACAGTTATTATTGTGTACCTCTTTGTGATGGCCAGCCCAATTCTCTTGGCTCACTGCCAAACCTTGTACGCAAGAATCTCCTCTCAAACGGCTCTGATAAAGTCCAATATCGGAGGATGAGGTTGTAAAATTTTGCTTAGTTGCGGTTCAGGAAAAGACATTGCAATCCCAAGACAATCACTGGGTTGAAAAAGCAGATACTACGTTTGCAGGAAATAAATCATCACTGCCTTTCTATTGTGTTTATAGGTTTTATTAAATTAATCAATGAATACAAATTTGAAACAAGAGCACTGTGTTTTTGAGGAGAACTTCTTTCGACGGAGGGGAGTTTCTCGCCTCACAAGTCATTACTTGATGCATAGCAGGATCTTTGGGAGATTTGGGAGGGCTTTAGGATAAGGATAAAGAAGTGGCACTATTTTTCTTTCAAATCATGTTATCTCTGTGCTCTGTTCTGTTATTCAAAGAGTATGCTGAGAGAGGACAAAGTACGGTCTATATTATCCTATCATACCTGCTGCCCTTTGGTGAGTCTTTTGTCACATTTCGTAGCTAAGCGGCTGCTTAAAAATTTGTAGTATTATTTCAGATTTTTTTTTTTTTTTGCTTATTGAATTTACTAGTACTAAAAAGGTTTTTATATGCTCAGAAGCTTTTTAAGTCTCACACAGTCAACTAAAGAAATGTGAAGCACATCTCTCGGTAACCCTCGCACACCGAGGTCCTAGTTACTTGGAAAAATGAAAAATTGAGTCAAGCAGGTAAAAGATGTGTTTGACAGACTCATTTCCACTGATGATGACACTCATTCTTCAGGGCTACATTGTGATGAGCTGAATTCTTGCCAGGTCTTTTCGGATCAGCTCAGCCTCTAAACCTAATTTGCTAATGACAGGGAAGCCGAGGAGCCATAAATGTCATCCATCAAGCACAATTTATCACTGTCTGAAAATACTGCCTTTAATAAACCATCCCAAGCACAGTACGAAACACTGGATACAAGACTTTGAAGCTGCATAAAAATTAGTTTTCCTAAACAAAGATGAAATTCCTATGAAGCGGTTTACGTTTTACCGTCATATCACTCTGTTTTTTTGAATATACAATTCCATCTCAATAGACTTGAATGTGTGTTAAATAAACCCAGAACTCTTCTATTTCTGAAAGTATTTGCTCCAAACATACTTGTTTTTTCCACATTTAAATGTCTCAAATCATCAAACAAATGTTAATATCAGACAAAGAGAACCTGGGTAAATCCGAAACACAATTTACAAATAATAATTTGAGATTGAGAGGGTAAAATCAGTCTTCAAGCCACACTAAGCCCATGTGGAAAAGTAATCTAATACCCGGTTGTGCCATCCTCAACACAGCAACAACTTCCCTTACGCACTGGCGATAACTGGCAATGAGTCTTTTGAATTGAAGTGGACGAAGTATGGAGATTATTTAATTCAGCAGCACTGGAGGGGTTTTAAGCTTGAATAGCTTGTTAAAGGTCATGTCTCCTGAGTCTTGCTGTATAACCCATTGGGAATGGGCTGAAGGTCATGAACTGATAGCCTGACATTGTTCTTCAGGGCAGGGGCAGAATTCATGGTTTTACAGATCCAGCAAATTATCCATTTTCTGAGAAGATGTTGTCTCATTTTAAACTGATTCATGTTCTCAGGCACTATTTAAAGGATTTCCTCTTTCTGCAGACTGGCTAATAATTGAGCTGGATTTGAAAACTCAAGGGGGGGCAATCACTGTTTTACATAATGCTAGATTGTTTTTTTTTTCTAATAAATGAAATGGCCATTGGAAAACTACTGGTTTAACGTTATTATGAGAATTAATCATGTTAATTCTCAGGAATTAACATTATTTATTACAAAAACAAGCAAAAAATCTATAAAACTTTTTTTTTCTTTTTTTGTGCTGACCTATAAAATTGACTCCAGTAACTTTACATTTTCAAAACATGACCAACCTTCCATTTGTCAATTTTTAATTTTTGTAATGCAGAGATTCCATCATCAGTTTACTCAGAGCGGCATTAACAGGGACACTTACACCCTCAGCAAGGCCCCCAACTCTTCCTGCACTCACAAACATGATACTGAGCACACACTTGATGATTGATGAGCTAACAACCAAGCTATGAGCTAGAAAATAGACTTGTTTCAGATGATGAATTCAATGTGCTCTCCTTTTCGCATTCCCTTTTTTATACACAGAACTGTTTTATTACACTGCTCCAGATTAGTTCAGATATTACAGGAGCAAGTTACCACATTATTTATTTAATATTCACAAATGACTGCACAAATAAAAATATATTTGCAGAGGCGGAAAATAGAAAACTCAAGCTGTTTGGAGTGTTCTTATGCTGAAGGGTTTCTACCTGCTCAACAAATCAATAAGCATGCACTTGTGCTACAATGATTGCCAAAATCATATAATCCATGTGCAAGCTTTGGTTTATATCTCTGAATGTTATTAGTGCAGTAGTGTTTATTATGCATGGCTGTTTCATACTGATCCACAAGAGCACTCTGCAGGTAAAATATAAAGGCTTACCTTGACAGTCAAAACAGCTTTTGTCTTATAATGGGAAAACATAAATAATGGAGAAAGATTTCAGATGCAGTTCATTTTGATAAACAAGTCATAAGCTTTCTTTGGAACAATGACACATTTACTTGTAAACAGCCAAAGGTTTTGTTTTTATCTGATGCTTTTAGTGAAATGAATTCTGTTTGTCATTAGGATTTGTCAAAAATGTTGAAGGAACATTTGCAAGACTACTTTAACCATTTCAAATTATTTGCAAAATTGAATCGACTGCAGCAAAGAAAATCAAGATGCTGGAAATGCTGTTTAGCAACTCCAGAAAAATGGCTTACATGTTTGGAATCAGGAACCTATAGTAAACCTAAAACAATAATGTCCACCACAGGGTTTACAAGGAAACTTTGCTGTCACAACTTTAATCTACGCCCACTTTGCCAGCATGAAGAACTTTAAAAAAGTATCCCTTTTCTATATTTTCTGTAAATAAAAATTTGATTATTGTGGTGAAAAGTGAAAAATAATGTGAAAAAAATCATCTAACACAGGGTTAAGTTGTCAAATAATATTTCAACCTTTGGACATCTCAAGGAGCTCTGTTCAATCTATTTTGTAAAAATAGAAAGAAATTTGGTTTCCACAAATATTATTAAACCTGTTTGAGCTTAAATTGATTTGTAGAGAAGAATGGGGATAAGAGTTCCAACTTTAGATGTATAAATCAGATCTCAAAACAACTGCAGCTACAAATGCAAAAAACCTGATTCTACCAGGGAGCTGAATAAATAAATACGTCACATTTTCCTGATTTTCCTGATAATCTATTCTTTATTTTTCTACCTTTCAATTTTCTCATACAATATATAGCTCTGTCACTAGATTGTATTAAAATGCATTGACATTTTTGGCTGTAATATGCAAAATTGTGAAAAAAGTTTTCGTGCTAAGAATAGTTTTTGCAATACATGGTAGATTAGGAGTGGACAGGACAAATAAGCAACAATAACAAAACAAACATTAAAAAATGTATAAAGTCCAGTCAATTTGACAGAGGAAGTGCAACTATTTAAAATTGAAACAGTAACAGTTTAAGATTTAAAACACAGGCACTGTTTGAAGGATTTCCATTCGTGGTTTCTTAAGATGAAGTGGAAAGCATTAAGTAAAACAAGTTCTGACATTTTCAGTTCACATTGGAAGCTGTTCCAAGAAGAGGGGGCAGAGAAACTGAATGCCCGCGCTGCCGCACAAGAGAAACATAGAGACACAGAATGTCACAACGGCATAACCACTTTTATTTCTCAGAAGAAATGTGCATAAATAAGTAGTATCCGAGCCAATAAGAGCCTTGTGAATCAGTCATCCAGTGCGTTTATCGTCTTCCATTCCAGGCATGCCAGCTTTAGAATATAGTTCATAGTTCACAATGCTGGAACTTAATTAATAGGAAAAAAAATGTCAAGTTGCTATGTCCTCAGCACAACATCAAAGCTTTTTCTTTAAAAATATGTTATGGAGACAATGATAAGTAGGCATATGACCTAAAACATATGCATAGCATTCAAAGAAATATGCAGGTACCAAGCCCCAGGCACAGATTGACTGAACAGTCACTCAAGACCATAAAAATAGAGTGATGAATCTGTTCTCTGCCTATGACTAAGGAAGACTATATGTGTGCTGCTATGCAAAAAAAAAAAAAATATATAAAAATAAAAATCATCATACACTGAGAGCTTTAATCCAGCTCTCAATTGGACTTTAGAAGAGAACTAAAGGCCCACTGAAAGCTGCTTTCTGCACAAATTATTAAATTATTATTATATGTTTTAGGTCATATGCCTACTTATCATTGTCTCCATAACATATTTTTGCTCTGTCCTGTTGCTTTTCTGATCAGCCTTGGAGATCCCAGACATTCAGTCACAACCCAGTCTACTCCAACAATTTAAATAGCACTGGAATAAAAACACAAAAGAAGACTGCATACAAAGGTCTGAAAAACCTGACATTATCCCATAGATTTACTTGATACTATCCGGAACATAAAGTCAGCGGATATATCAGTCATACGAATGTTAAGAGAAAAACCTTAGAAGGAAGTGGACATCGAAAGAGCCACACCAGGTCCAGAAAAAGAGGTGATGGCTAACCAACTGTATGTTGTCTGAGTTTGATAAACTGGACATAAGACCACCAGTGAAGAAAAGCAGGCCCAAGTAACTACTTTATTGAGAAGAAATGATAAGAGAAGAATGAGACAATTCAAATGTAAAAAAAAAAAAATGTAACAAAGGAATAGAAATTCAGGTCAAGAGCAGCACCATTCCACACCCAAACTCAAGGAGAGCCTTCCTAGGAATATTCATAAAGAAGGTAATTTATAATATAAAACACTTTATAAAATATCACCTGTTTATATAAACTTTATAGCCAATTCTTTGTCCAAAGTTCGACTGTTAATCATGCCTAGCACTAGCCACTACTAACAGTAGCTACCACTAGCACTAGCTTGTGTCCACTACTTAGTCGGTAAAATGCTATTGTTACGTGAAAAGAAAACAAACTCATTCAAGTAAGACCTGCACATTATTATAAAGAAATATTTTAATATTTCCTATTTAAAAAGGTTCTGTAAATATGTGTCAGGTCATTCCGTAGGTTAAAAATGGTAACTTTTGAACAGTGAGGGTCCTTTCAGACTTTTCTTTCAACCCAGCAGACAAGGTCACAATTGCCCTCTTGGTTGGTTTGAAACTATCACCCTTCTGTCTGAATAGCACAAACCCAGAATTTGGATTCAATAAAGAAATGTTTTCTGAGAGATTAAAGGCCTGTGCATTCTGCAAGAACCGAGAAATGCATCCTTTCTCACAGAGCTGAAGTTCTTACAGTTTGTTCTCGACACATAAGCATGGCAGTTCCTTTTACTGTTGTTGCCCCTGGCAGTTCGTTTTACTGTTGTAGCCCTTGACAACCATTGGGCGGCTGGTCAGAAATTTGTGAGTGTAGTAAATGGTTGACTTGGCCTTCCCTGGGGTACTTTAACTGAGTGCCTCCTGAAGTTTAAAATATCGTCAACAGAAGAAGCACTATTGTTCTTGCCAACTTTGAATGGGTAAACAAATTTCTTGATTCTTGTGGAGTGTACACAGGCTTCACGTGTTCCATGAAGAGAAGGGGAAACTCGTGAGTTTAATTCCTCATTGCTAATGTTGGGTAGAATACTAAACATGTACTTTGAGTTATGTAAGAACATGTATATAACATAATCTTCTGTTGCTCACCGAGGGGATCATTTTTCTTCATTCTAGCTCGGCACGACAGCAAGCTTCCCTTTTTGTCACTTTCGCACTCAATTAAACAGAACCCAAGATCATGCTAAGCTATTACGTTTTGCTTTGAAACCTGTGGTCACCTTTTATGTCATGGTGTTGTTCCCCTCATCTTTTCCTACTGCTGTCACTGTCTACAACCATGGCAACAGCCAAAGACTTTCCAGGGCCTACAACAGGTAAATATCCCAATGGATGATCATTGCAAGCCAGAATTAGTGTGTGTGATGCTGGAACTGGCTCTGGGTCAGGACACATCATGGCCTCACCCTGCATGAGCCAAATCATCAACATGCATGGTTGCTCGCTCTGCTGACACTAGACGCTTTCTCTCTATTCATACCACGGACTGCATAAGTTATACCACAACATGTTGGTATTTTGGTTTGCCTTTTTCATACTAAGTTATACCTCAGAGAGGGAAAAAGTGGACCTTTGTGTGATAGTGTTGTTAAGTGTTTCACTGAGCATACGAAAATGGAACGGAAATTCATAAATTATTTGTGGAGTCTGTTCATGTTACGAATTTTGCAGAGACATTTCTGTTGACAATGCGTTAGGTTCTTTTTGCATAAATCTGCTTGATACGGTGTTTGTCGCTTAATCATATCTGATATGAGTGCTGCAGGTTTAAACTAAATGGGCAGTAAAATTAGTACGACAAAAGGGTTATTTTCTCAATGTCACTTAATATCAGATCAGCCAAAATATTGCAAGGTAATTTGCTGGTCTCTTTGTGAGCGGCTTAACCAAAGTGACTGCAGTTTTCCAAGAGATGCATAGAACCAAAAGTGGCTGGTGTCATGCCACTCCTGCTGTAGTAGCATATGTCGACTCTTTTGTGATCATCCGCGACTCTAGAATGAGATTTAGTGGCATATGCCAAATCAACAGCAGTGACTCACTGTCCTCAGATGGAATGCTGCTCATGTTAGAACGACGCCAAGAAATTTTCGATGCCTCAGACTGTCACATTAGTACTGCTTGCTTGGTGCTTAATATACATTGTAAAGCAATTAGCCAAGCTTTATTGTCAATGGAGTGCTATGGAAAGTACTTGAGGAAATGTAATAGCACCATAATTTCCGTCGCTAAGTGACGTCGTTATGAAAGGCGGTATTTTAAGGAAATGCTTTTCAAATGTCTTTTAAATAACAAAATGAGTGAGCTCTCTAATCAAGTTAACTGAAAAAATCAAGCACTGTGTTAATATCACTTTTACATTGTAATCCTTTCAATAATATGCCAAATTAACACATGCTGTTAGAACATCCTTAAAGTATCAGTCAGAAAGTTGCATGACAATCTGATGTTAGCAGAGAAAAAAAATAATTTTAATATTTAAATTCAGGAACAAAAATTCAATTCTTGGAGAATGCCATATTACTTTTGAACATGATACAGTATATATCCAGAAAGGAATGCTGACACAGCATACATTTTTGCAAGGCTCAAAATTGTGCATGCAGTGCACTCCCATTCATATTTGGTCATATGTCCTTTAGCAAGTTACAATCTGACCACAGATTCTTTTGAAACTATTACCACACTTCAGGCATGCTTCTCGTTGAATATTTGACCACTTTTCTAGGCACAACTCTTTGACCAGCATAGTTTCAGCTTTTAATTATAATCCACACATTGTAAAAAAAAAAAAAGGCTGAGATCAAGCAATACTAGAAGTCTGATCCACTCCAAAACCAGTTTTCATGTGTTTGGGATCATTGTCTTGTTGGTGCACCCACTTGTATGAAGGTTTTTAGCACCTGATCCAAACTCTCATCCTCAGATAAAAGGTGAGGATGTTCAAGGACACTCCAGGACCTACTCAGCCTCAAGCCACCTTAAACTTAAAAACTGCCGGAGTGTTTCTGTCAACGATGAATCAAACTTAACGTCGCTTTGGACTGAGAAGGTGCCAGTCAAGGAAGAAGCTCCCGCACCATAATTTTAATTATGCGCAAATGAAACCTACAATTGCCTACATAGACAAGTCAGAGGTCTTTTAGAGTAAAGTTTTTTGTTTGTAAATGATAGAAATGAGCTATTTGATGAGATGATGAGAAAAATGTAGGAGTTAAAGTAAGACTTACAGCCTAATAACACTGTCAAATGTGGTGGTGTTAGTACCATGGTGATGGTCTGTTTTGAAGCCAGCCCTACTGGTCCATAATGTGGAACACAGAAGATTCTTCAGCACTCCGCTCTCCACACGAGACAAATGTACCAGTGATAAAAGAAATACTAATAATAAAAAATTCTGCAACGCCTCAACATTGTAAATTATAATCAAATTGTGATGCATGTTTGCATTTGGACCAATGTTTACTTGTTTGCACACCAGAGTTCAGATGAGATTGCACACCTGCTGAAAGAAATTCACGCTGTACAAAGAAATCTGCTTTTACCTGTGCCGATTTCAAAAAGTTCACAAATTCAAACTTATTCATCCGATTTGTGTTTTTAAAAACAGAGGTTGAATATTGTACAAGACTAAATAAAATAATCATAAATGACAAATTAATATAACATCATCCATGCAGATAGTTGGTGTAAATAAACATTGCATTAATTAAAAAAGAAAAAAAAAATCCAAAGTGCGCTTCTGTAGAACTGCTAACTGAGCCAGAAAAGTTTCCCCATCAGCTGTTTCGTGGTATTGGCACTCTTTAGTTTTCCGTTGTGGCTTTCTGTGATGCATTACATGTCATCCTGCTGTTTTTGTGGCCTTTTTCTTAATTTTGCTTTTCATTTTAGCTCAGGATAAAAATAAGAAAGGATTTATTGGTTACATTGACAGAGCATGTTTGGGTACATGTGGTTGCCTATTCCAATTTGTATTTTGTAAGGAAGTGCCAAACAATAATTACCACAGTGATGAGAGTGAATGTGAACATGTCACATGACATTTGCTTATGCCATCTGCTGACAGCGGATTCATTGGTACGAATCATTATACCCATCAACATCTAACCAAACCCAGGTTACTTTGGAACGTGATCATTGTCTCAAAACCTGATGTTGCAGCTCATGAGTCCCTGTATTGTATTTAAAATGCATGGGATTAAAAAAAAAAAAAAAAAAAAAAAGCATGACACACAACTTCATCCTTTCAAGTTTTGTATTTTGGGATGGTAAAAATCTTTTGTGTTTGCAGGGTTTGTTAATATAACCGTCATTTCCCAGGGTCACTTTGCAAAACTGAGCATGAGCCATGGCTATTTATCAGGTTGAGATAATGAGAACACAAGAGGTGCACCATAAAGACACAGGCGCTCAGTATATAATAGGACGGACACGGGGGCATCATACTGAAGCTTGAAAAAAATGCTGTGCTCGTTTTCTGCTCAGAAACCTAAATGCGCATTCTTTTCTGAAAAAATTTTATCAATAAACAAGAAGTATAAAATGAGCACATTCAACTCTGGCAATATTAAAGCATTTCTTCTTTATGGCAGCTTTTTATAGAGGTTTTTGCGGTTGCATCTGAAATTATTTGTGCAGTTCAGGAAGATTTGTTCATTGTTTTGGTCACTGGTTTAATAGGCACACAGCAATTTTACAAACATTCTTCTTCAGTTGAGTTCTGGTTATTACGTTTATGACTGCAATTTAAAATTGAATTTGACACTTCAAACTCAGTCATCAGTACAGAGCCCAATGTCCACCCAAAACAAAAGTAGTAACGCCAAAAATATTCATAAAGTGAAGACTTGTATAGTAGTTTCTTCAATGAGGACGAGGAGGCCAGGAAAACTGTTGTCTAGGAGCAGAAGCTTGTTCACCCCACGATCTGGCACACAGCTGAAGGATTTTAAGAAGTGCTGTCATGAGTCCAGTCTGCCTGTAGCTAACCACTGTTTAGAATAATCATTTCTGTCAAAAATTGTACTTCAAAGCATTAAAAAAGATTGCCAGCATTCTGATTGACATAACCTCGTTGTTTTTGCAAGTCTCACTACTCTACATATAATAAGTTTGTTTGATCCACGACAGTTTATCTGTGTCTTACCACTCTTCTTTAAGGCTGTCTGCAGTTAGCTTACCTTAAACAGCTTGCCACTTGTCCATGAAAAGTTAAATAAGCCTGGATCTGTAGATTTATTTTTTCCCATTAAATCTAAGATTCCTATTATTTCATAATCCTTAGGCAAAGTTGTTTCCATGCAGCTCACTGTTTTTGATACGAAACCACACATGCTGTCGCCAAATTCCCAATACAATATTTTAGTTTTTTTAAATCAAGAAAACTCTTTGAGGTTTCATAAAGAGTCATTGGGTCCAATCCCATTATGTTTATCTGGCAGCGCCTTCCTGTTTTAGCGGACGTGACAAAAATCTGTTTTGCTTTCAGAAAAGTATGCTCTAAAGAACGGTTAGCTGTTTTCAAGATTTTTAAGTTTTCTGGCTGAAAAATATAAAATAAGCTCCTTAAAATCGACATCTGACATTATCTTCAGCATACATACTGCAGCCAAGTAGTTTTCTAAATGTCAGAAACTCTGTGGCATCTCAGTGGCATCTTCCTATTGATTTTGCTCCCTCGCATCCATGCCTTCTCTCATTGTTTTCTTTCAGATCCTAATGCTTTAGGACAACGTGGACCTGACCACGCTTTAATCGGCGGGGTTGTTGCAGTCGTGGTCTTCATCACCTTGTGTTTGATAATAGTTCTTGGAAGATATCTGGCTAGACATAAAGGTAAAAGAGGTCACTTGCTTTCTTTTTTTGTATTGAATGAAAAGATGCTGTGAGGTTTTCCACCGGTGGGTTTTTGATTTGTCTGCATATACATTTACAGGAACGTATCTAACACATGAGGCCAAAGGAGCAGAGGATGCCCCCGACGCTGACACGGCTATTATCAACGCTGAGGGAAACCATGTGCATGCAGAGGAAAAGAAGGAGTACTTCATTTAGACCTCTGGCTTCTTTCTCCTTCGTTTCAATGTTCAACAAGAGACATGCAATTTCGAGCTGCCTCAGTGTTACAACATGATCTGGGTTTTACTCTTCATTTATCTTTTTTTCCAGAAAACTCCTGCTTGGTTTAACTTGACTTTAAAATAGCGTTCTCCTTTTGTAATCAATACAAACTAATGGTTGGATTAGATTTTAGTTTTCTGGTGCCTAAACGAGACGTTTTTTCTGCATTTCTTTCATTGACTGCATTAACAGGTTTCTCTGCTCCCTTACATAACTGTCTGCAGAATTGTTAAACACAGAAGGGACAGAAGATGTGCTCGATTTTAAGACAGTCAAGGTTGAGCTTTTCAAAGTGTTTTACTGTGAGAACAGAATAGCTGGAACACATCAGTTTATGAAACATTTACATAATATGACTTTTCTTTCTGAATTAAGCAATTGTCTTGGATGTCTCCTGGATTTTATCCTACCATAGCCATAATGTATGACATAACATGACAGACACTTTGATATAACAAAACATAGAAGCACAATCTATGTGATTGTCCCAAAAAGAAACCATCTCCCTCTTATGAAGGTGTATGCTCTTACACCTATTAGTTTTCAGTTGTCTTTTATCTTATTTTATACTATGAAAGTCGGAATTTTAAAGCACAAAGTCTGAGGACTAAAAAAAAAAAAAAGGGGGAAAATACGAGAACTGTATCTTGTCTCAGGATTCAAAATGAGTCTAGATGGAGAAATGGAGTCTGACGTGTAATAAAAATTTTGGTCATCATAATGGATCAGGAATATTTGTTTTTTTGGTTGGCTATTTAATGTAAAATCCAAACTGAATGAGTGGACTTTGTGGGGCTTTATTAATTATGTTGAATTTTATTGAACAACAACTATGCTTAATGTGTGGATATTGCTGTAAAATACTTTGCTAACGTGAATATTTGTGAACAATATTGTTGAATCTTGGGATCCCTGGCACATTATGTTTTGTATATTAGCATATACACTATTTAATGTATTCCACATCTCATGACTTTTTTTTCTATATTTATCTAACCAGTTTGTTTTGCCACAAGCCATGTATATAGCTGTGAAACAGTTTATGTTTCCTTACAGATTTTGTCTGTTTGTGTTTTTCATTTATTACGGCAAATGTTTCAGATCAGACAAATTTTAAACTTTGACAAAGATAACTTCAAAAATGACAAAACATTGTTTTTTAAAAGCTTACCAAACCAACCTGGCATTAATGTATTTTTTAAAAATCCCCCATCTTATTAGACCACAATGCATTTTCTTGCCACACCCTGGTTTGATTACTTTCAGAGCCATATAATCGATAAATAACTTCAATAAAACCTGTCTGACAACATGAGGTAGGCTAAAATATGCCACAAAGCCACACATTAGGACCCGGTCCACATAAATTCTAAATTATTTACATCCATCAATCTGCAAAGGGTAGCGAAGTAGTTCTTGAGGCTTTGTTACTCTGACGAACCACAGAGAAAGCTTTTATCCACAAATGGAGAAAACATGGAACAGTGGTGAACCCATCCAGGAGTGGTCAGACAAACAAAATTACTCTAAGACCACATATAGAACTAATCCAGGAAGTCACAGAACAACATCTGAAATCTGTTCTGACAAAAAGAAAAATAACACAAAGTGAAATACCAGTTTCATATTTGCCAAAAGCTATCTTGGTTATCATGAAATCCTTTGGGAAATTTTTTAGTGGACTACAAAGAGTGGAGCTCTACTGCATTGTGATGGACTCTGGCTGCTTCCAGAGAAGCATGACTTACTCTATGGAACCATGAAACCAACTCTCTAGCATGGTAGAGAGTTTGACTAGGCCACCTTTTGACTAGGTGGCCTAGTCAAAAGGTGACTGGGCCACCTTTTGTCGCCTAGTCAAAGTCTGGACTTAAATCCAAATGCAGCGGCGCTGGGTTTGTATTTACTCAGCTTATCTTGAAAAAAGCTGTTTGATGATCTGAAACATTCCAGTGTGTCAACAAAGCAAAAACAGAGAAGATCTGAAAAGGGGAAAATACTTTTTCACGGCACACCAGATGTTTTCAGTAGAGGGAAGAGGAATGCATTCCATTCCTGTCACGATGAGTGTTTTCACACTTTTGAAGGTTTCTTCAAACAGGGATTCTAATGAATTACTTACAACTGAAAAAAAAATGACTATATGTATTTATTATTATGGCTGATTCAGATTTATTATATGATACTATATTAATTAGTATTATTGTTGTTAACACTGAAGTAGTTGTCTGACATTACCTTTTCCATTTTATAATTCTGTAATTTATCATGAAGAACAGTACAAGGATCACCGTTATGGCCTTTGAGTTTGCTGCAAACAGTACATGACATGACATGTTGAGGACCTGGTGAATCAAACATCCTCAAATTGTATATAATCATTGTATCAAAGAAGTTGAACCACATTCCCAATGCCCATACATGTTATTTTATTGGTTCCGTATGATGCTATAAATAGTCATTTTGTACAAAGATTGAATTGCTGTAATTACTTTGCTTTTTATGGAGGGTGTCTGAGGTCTGCTTTATCTCTCAGTACTGAATATTCATTTTTCAACTATGCCACTGTAAAAAAAAAAAGTAAAAAAAAAAGAAAAAAAAAGAGGGACAAAGTGCGAATTAAAAACATGAACTTGAAAATTGTAATTTTGTTGTGACTAGATTTGTGGTGTGAAAAGAAAACTCAAGATCAAAGATTTTTACGTGGGAATTACAGAGCTCTTATACCTGCAGTCATAATATGAGTTTTTACGTCTTCTGGTGAGTGAAAGTGACATATTTTGATTGACAACGCTTAGGCTAAAGCTGCACTGCAATTGTTACACAATGGAACACTAAATCTTGCTCAGCCTGCAGTATAACACATGTACACAAAGTGCCTAATTTTAGAAAGATGGATGGAGTCTCCCGTTTCCAATCATTTAACGAGTATTAGAAAAATAAAAATAAAAATCTACATGATTTTCTTCCCGTTTCACGGGAAACAGAGTTCAATATTATCAGAGATGTCAGCAGTCTGCCTTTTAAGTAGTTTTGGATTTTATTTGCTTTGACAGCTTTGACAAAGTAGAGAAAGTACTGTGGGAAGTGAAAACTGAAAATAAGGTGCTCGGTTGAAACATGAACTTTTGGGACCCTAACAGAATTTTCCTTTAAGATATATAGTATTTGATTAAATAATAATCAACTCATGGTAAGTATTCATGAGACAAACAACTGAAGTGTTATTTAGGATTTTAATACTATAAAAAAAAATCTGCATTTTTCACGTATAACTGCAAAACACAATATGTTTCTTGGGTATATTATGTGATAGACCAAAACAATTTAGTGCATAGTTTTGAAGGGAAAGGAAAATGATATATATTTACACTTCAGCTGTTTAGAAAACAACTGAAAAGTGTGGCATGCATTTGTATTCAGTCCTCTTTACTCTGACACCCCTAATTCTCTTGTCTACTATGACGTATACTGCTGCCTTTCTCAGTCAGGTCATCTTTGTGAAAGAGGTCTTGATCTCGGCGGCATCAAGCAGTGGGAATGTTTTTTTTTTTTTCTCTGCCAGAACAGATAAGCTGGTCAGAGTTGATGGGAAAATGGACAAAGTTAATCCAGCCATCAGAGGGACTCTTACAAAACACCATTAAGACATTTATTTTTAAAAGGCTTTATAAAATCATGTGTCTATTTTCATTAGAAAATAGATACATGCCTTTGTGCCCTGCCTTTGTCATGATCCTTGAACTTTCTTTTTCCATATTATTACTTTTTGGACTTTATTGTTTACAAGGGGAAAATGACTCTATGTGTTTCACTCTTTTTTTTTTTATTTTGTAACTTGAATTTTAACATTGTTGTGTTTTTTGTGTATAGGTTCAGGGTCTTATTTTAGTGTTTGTGTTTAGATTTTTATTTAGAAGACTCTTCTGTGTCCTGTTTAGTTCCACTGTGTATTCAGTCTGTGTTCATTATTCACTCTCCTTCAACAGTTCACTCCTGTTCCCCACCCATGCCGACACGCACCGCGTTAATTAACTCCCCAGTTTAACATTCCAGCAATTACTCCTCTCTGGTATTTAAGCAACTGTTCTTTTTTTTCCCATTCCTTGCTTGATTCTATGTTAATTTTTTCCTCCGTATTATTTTTTTTCCTGAACTGCTATTTATTAGTTTTTGGAAAAAAATAAATTAATAAATATATATATATATATATATATATATATATATATATATATATATATATATATATATATATATATATATATATAAGATTGAACTGAACAAATTGTTCATGAGTCCTCCCAACAACAATCCTAATTTGAGAATGTTGTGTTGGTCTATCACATAAACCGCTATCCCCACAAAAAAAAAATACTTTTAAATTTGTGGCTGTATGATGTGAAAAACTCAAGAGTATGAATATATTTTCAGGGCACTCAAAGGCTTTTAGTGAGGATAAATGTTCTCACAAACTAAATACACATACATTTTTTTTTTAATTATTGTTTAACAATTAAAATTCTAAAAATAAGTGCACAAGTATTCATTTTATGCACAGCACATTAGCTTATATGTATGTGAATAAAGTGTAATGATCTGTGTAAGATCTTTTTGATCAGAGGTAAATCGAAAGCTGATTACTGAACCTTAAAAACTGATCTGAAAGCCACTTGCATACTGTCTGTAAGACATACCAATGAAGCAAAAATAAAATAATACACCTTTTATCGTCTATTGTCACTGCTTCAGTGACACAAATTGCCCTTTTGAAATTTGGGAATTAATTTGGAAGCGTTGTGCAGATTACAGGGGTCACATTAAATATCGCAACATCCTTGCAGGAAGATCTCGTTCCAGGACACAAGACGCAAGTCGTAATGTTCCTCCATTCTTCAGCTCCCATTGACCTTGAGCATAATGTTGCTTCCCAATAGACTAATGTCGCCATTATCAACAGACTGTCCGGCCAACCATCTGCCTGCTTCACGCAGCACAGCTCCCCCTCTCCTCTCACAGACACCGCTCCCAGTGCTCACTTCATAATCATTACCAGCAAAAGCCCAGCCAGTTCAAATAAACATCAGCTCCCTCTATTGCACTCCTTCTCATTATTAAAAGCTCAG